TTTTCTTGCTTCTCTTATGGCTGGAAAAAGATATTTTACAGCAAGCAACTGAGGGACCTCAATTTATGTTATGAAGAAAGATTTACAGGCTCTTTGCTTAAAGTGTGCAAGTATCTTCATGGAGAACAAATAAAACTGAAGGACTCTTTTAATTAAAACACTAAAATCATAGCAATAACCAACTGGAAATGACCTCCTGAGAAATTCCAATAGAAACAGGTTGCTATTTCTAAACAGGGCTATTAACTACTGAAGCTACTCATGGCACTGATGGATGAGTTGAAATTTCCCATACTGTGGAACGTCTAGAAGACATGCAAGTTATTGGCTTTAATAAAGGGGCACCCAGGTAAAAGTCTTGTTGTATTGGTAATCTGAATTAAATAGTGTAATGTGTTTTTTTGCCTTTAATTATTAATCTCTGAGAAAATGTGAGGTATGCTATTTAGGGGTCTGACATTCTTGTTACTATTCCTTCTTTCCACCCTTCTCTTCTGCTCTGGAGGGGACAGATAACTGACTAGCAATGCAGGAATTTCTTTACAAGCTGATCTGCTTGACATTTTAAAGTAAGTCAAAGCTGGATGTGCTGACTTCTGTTAGGGTTACAGGGTGAACAGGTAAAGCTTCAGTAGCAGCTTCAGTGGTCTGATTTTAACATACTATTGTAAGTGTGTCGGGGCCCTTACTATATTTGCTGTCCTCCAGATAAAATCAAGTTGGTCAGCAAACAACTTAAATACCAATGAATGGCTGTGTGTGTTTGGGCTACTGAACTGAGTGCTGTGTATCTCTGCAGAGTGAACCAGGCAATTATCTAGGTTCCTAGCATGAGTTTTGATGTCCATTTGTAGGCTTCTAAATGTAGGTGAATTCTAACCTTGCTGTCTAAAAACCATCAGATGACTGAGATTTGCAGTAGTAAAGACCATCTCCAGAATACACTTAATCTCCTTCTGACATAGTTCTTTCCACCTCTTTTTATTACATACTCCGAGATGTCCATTGCTGTCCATTAAACTGTAGAAGGAAACAGTGATTAGCTTAATCTAGGTGCTGAACAGCAGCGCACTGAACTTAGTATAAACAAAGTTTCTAAAAATGAGACCCAAGAGATCTTGCTGGTTGACTGTAATTTGTGTCTTATGTATACTGACTGGAGTTATGGTCATGTTAATTCTGGTACTTCTTGCTTTAAAAAGAATAAGGTTAGAGTAAAAATGGAAATTCAGTCGTGAAGTAAAAAACAAACCTTGAAAATGAGGAGTTTGGTTGCTCATGTTCTATGTCCTTATATGAATTTTGCTGCTTATGGTTTATGTGGTTATTTGCATTTCTGGAAAGCAAGTAACCGGTGTTATCAGATGGCTCACGTGGGTACGGGTGGTATACGCAATGGTAAGTGACACAACTTGAATTACATAACTAACAGCCAAAAGTATTGCTATTACTAACTACCACATTAATTCAACACCTTCTAGATTTGGGACCAGAGGAATTTAGGGCATGGATGAAATTGGTGATCTCTCTGTTTTTGTAATCTTCCATTCTTGTGGCTGTGGGGCTGGGACTGCTACTCAGAGGGCTTCACTTTCCTGTGGAGAATGGACCACAAAGTGGTGCCAAGACCTTTTTCTGCTCTCCTGCCTCATACAACCTCTTTCCTCTCACTTCTCTGCAGGAGGGAAGTCCCATTTCACTGGACACACATGCACATGGCTGCTCTGCCCTGTTCCTTTGCTGGAGCAGAGCATTTTTGGCTGGGGAATAGGGAGGGAGCAGCACCGGACACAGGGGAGCAGGCCAGGTCACTAGTATCTCAGGTCACAATGTGCGTGCCGCAGTTTTGATCTTGTTTGTTATCACATAATTTTTGTGCCACAATTCAAAAGTTATTTCTGTCTTCCCTGAAGATGAAATGTAAGGGTTGTAAACCAGTGGTGGGTTCATATAATGTAATTTGAAATGCACCTGATTTTCACTTGGATAAATTCTTAAGGGTGGTCAGGTATACTCTGAGCCTTTATCTGTCACAAGAATGAAGTCTGGATTTTGGAGCAGTATGGTACTTTGCTTTTGGAGGGGGGCAGAGGAAAGGAGAACTTGGGTAACTCACATATCTGACTAATGAAATCCACATCAACTGTATTTATTTATTTTTAAATAATACTCATATGTTATGCTCTTACTCCCTATTTTACCTGTGATATTTTATACCCTCCAGCAGGTGCTGCTGCAACCTGCTAATGTCGTCTTCATGGAGGGAAAAAAAAAAAAAAATCAGTCATTTGATTTAATACCGTGCAACTGGACTTTGCTCTTTGTTTTGCATGCTGAATATGCCTCTGTTCTCTTTTCTTCCTCGAGTTATTTGCCAGCGGAGTCACTAAGGAGGGAATTTTTATGATCCCAGCATATTTGATCCTGCAAGTGTTCTTTGTAAAAGGGGTTGAAGATCAGTGGGAGTTGCTTATCAAGGCCATGCTCAGAGCAAGTTGAACAGACACAGGTAGAAATACATTTGTATTTTTACAAAATGTGAAGAAATGCAAGTGTTTTCTTAAAAGTAAAAAAATTAATAAAAAAGATGAAAGTTATAAAAGTTTCTAGTTGGCTCATTGGTTTTCCCAAGTTTCTTGAGTTTTAGTAATTTAAACTCATGATTTAAAATCTTATCATTAGCCTAATAGCTGGTCTTGAATGCTAGAAGTTTGCAATACAGATTACGCAGCACACATTTCAGAGCTGTGGCTGAGTTACATACAGAAAATGTAAAGAGGAGATGTGCTTCATTCTGTTTGCTGGTGGACCACTTGTGCCAGACAGAAATTTATGGGTACTAATAGTTGAAATTAGGCTTTGATATGGGTTACATATCTTTGAAGTCCTTGAGTTGCACCAGGCCAGACATGCAGTCATGAGCTAAGAGATCTCATTGATCTCTGATACTTACCTGCATCTTTGTACTGTATTGCTGGTTCCATGTAGGGAATTGAAATTCTGTAGTGTTTTTCCTCACGGTTATAGTGATTAAACTTGGTTGGGACTATGATTTTTGGCACTTTTGGGGTTATCTAGGGGCCTTAGAAGGTGAATCCAAGTTTAATAAGCTGAAGTATTGGTTTGCTTTTGATATTTATTAGTAGTCTAAAATGTTCAATATAAAAATAAGGACAGTAAACTACAATCATAAATCTCAGGCAGGCAACACTTTTTCTGCCACGTGAAACAATGTGTGTCCCCTGGTCATTCTGTTTGGAGATGGCTGGAATTACAATCTCTCTCTCTAACCTCTCTTCTATGTTTCTTTTAGAAATCCAGCCTGGCTGTGGCAATTACCTCTCAGGAAGTTATAAGGATGGATCAGGAGGAAAACACCTTTATTTTTCCTTTTGGCTCAAAACCAAAAGGTTAAATATAATTCATAGAGTCATAGAATGGTTTGGGTTGGAAGGGACCTTAAAGACCATCTAGTTCCAACCTCCCTGCTATGGGCAAGGACACCTTCCACTAGACCAGGTTGCTCAAAGCCCCATCCAACCTGGCCTTGAACACTGCCAGGGATGGGGCAGCCACAACCTCTCTGGGCAACCTGGTCCAGTGTCTTACCACCCTCACAGTGAAGAACTTCTTTACATGTAATCTAAATCTACCCTTTTGCAGTTTAAAGCCATTACCCCTTGTCCTATCACTACATACCCTTGTGGAAAGTCCCTCTCCAGCTTTCTTGTAGGCTGCTGTAGATTCTAAGATTAGATTAGATTCTAAGAATTCTCATAATATCTACATAATCCAGATGCATTAAACATACAGATAAAAAGTCTTTAGTCAATCAGGTCTGAAGTTCTCATAAAAAATTCAAATTCAGATTTGGATCTTTAATGAATTTTAGCTCCGTTGATTTCAGATGCTCTGGAATGTGCATCTGTCTTTAAGAGGGCAGTTCATTTTATGCCAAAACTGGAATTATTAATCCGCTTTAGATTCTGTGGAGTTTTGTGTGTCTCTCCATTCTCTAGAGAAAAGGAGCTATACAGACAAGGTGGCTAACTAGGTTGCTAAAGTCAAGTGGCATTAACCCAACTTTGGCAACTTGGGTCTATGTCTTATGACATGGAGATATAGAACATAAATATGATTATAAGTAATTGATATATTAAGTATATGTAATAATAGTTAATGCTTATTCATTGCTTTCTTTTCCTAGATTCTAGGGCAGCTCACAAAACTTTTTACAGTTTTTGCCCTACTCTATAGGTGAGAGGATGAAGTTGCTAAATGTGAAGTGAGTTGTTGAAGGTCCTAAAGTGAACCAGTGGCAAAACTGGAAAGAGTTCAAGTTTGATGGCTTTTTCTTGTGGATATACCACTTTATAATTTTTTTTTATTTGTAGTTTTTTATAAGTGATCATTATTTGTTGATGATGTGGTAAGTAACCACTGAAACGTTGCAGATGATTGCTTGTATTGTTGAGGCAGTTTTGCCTTGCTTTTCCTTGAAGCTAGGCTTTTGTGTGTTGAAAATATGAGTAAATGGGTGAAGTCTGTGTTTCTCCCTCTTAGCACAAAATGCACATAAGATTTCCAGTAAAACTGTTTTTTACTTCCTGTGAAAGCATACTTTTTTTTTTTTTTTTTTTTTTTTTTACCATAGCTTTCTAGTACCGATAGGTACTTCAGCTGTTTTTCACTATACTTGGCCAGGCTATATCTGGAAGAACAACAAGTGATTACAGCTCCTAAGATACAGTTACCAGCAGTCAGATCGACAAAAGGGTTAAAAGTGAGACAGCCCTACCTTTTACTTCAGTGGAAGTGTAGTTGTTGATTTAAAGCTCTCAGTAAATGATTGTTGGAGATCTGCCATGTGTAGCAGAGCATTCAGAAAGCATACCACAGACTCTGCTTCCTCCTGAAGAGCATTTGTCTGTCAATATCTCACTTCAGCTGTAGTCTTCTAAAGGTACCAGAAGGCAGGCAAAACTCACCAGCCAGCAGTCATGGAAGATCAGGTCTTTACCAACGTTTATCAAAATGTTAATGACACCAACAGCTATGAGATTCCAGACTCTGAGAAAGACAAACAGGGTAATCTTTATGATCACGAAGATCCAGCATCTCCTTCTTCCATCACTACTATCCCAGAGAGCATGGATAGTAGTCAAGAGAGCTCAGAAGATAGCTGTAGTAATTCTGTGGCCTCTCAGCATGAGGCTGATGGGGAGGATGGTTCTTCATCTCACCATGGTGCTGAAGAAGACCACCCATACCAGGAGGTGGATCTGATGAGCCCAAGTCTGGAAGATAAACACGCAGAGGGCATGATGTTTGAGAGCAACGTGCATTTTCCTCTGGATTTCCAGTTGCGTCGGAGCCAGAGCACCTCTTCCAACTCTTCAACTTCCCTCAAGTTCCCCCTTAACAATAACTTCGGAGAAACTGACAACTTTCAGGAAGATGGTGAGATTTTCCTGTTTGTAAAGGTAAGAACTTGGGTGCTCCTAAGAATGCACTACTTTTAAACCCCAAGTCAATGTACATGTCCTCCAAACCAGTGAAATACAGCTACCCACTGCTTTGTTCCCAACTCTGCTGCCTGTGTGCTGCAGGGGGCCAATCCATTCACTTACCTCTTGCATCTTAAGGCACAGAAGAAGATTTGTGTTGTGTGGAGATGCCTGGGATTTCTTCACTTCAAGTGGAAGTATGAGTATGGTGAAAGTAGTCTGACTGTTGCTGCAATTTATTCTGTGAAATCTCACTGCTGTTACAGCTAGGCTGCTACTACTTGAACTAATTTAGTTCAAGTTTAGTTAAGCTAGTTCAGCTATTCCTGCATTTCACTATCTATCTAGTAGCTAATAGGTCAAAAGTGATAGTTATTAATGCTATGAAGAAAACTAAATGCATAGTTTAAATAATGGCAATAAAATTTCCATAAATGCTCATCCCTGAAAGAGGTCTGTCTTTTATTTCTTTCAATATTTAGATTCATATCTTTCTGTGATTAGTTAGATTAATGTAGTTCTGTGACAATTTTAACATGTATTTTTCATTAATTTCAAGTTAGGTATAAATTACTGAGGGGGCTTTCACACATCTCTAACCTTGTAAAGTCTTACTTGAATTTCTAAACCATAAACACCCGTGTCCTTAAATAAACACTGTACTTCCCTTCATAAGGGCTCTTGTATTCAACCATTCTCAATATTTATTAGGCCATAACACAGACCTGACAGTTCCTCCTTTCAACTACATGAGAGAGAAATTTTCAGGTTCTTGTATGGCCCTATTGAAGGGAAACACGTTGAGTGTAATACTCTGTTATTTCAACAGAAGTCTTGTGAAGTTTGTCACTTCTCAGCATAAACAAGATTATCAGGATCTGTTCCTCAGTTTCACACGTGCTATGAAAGCAGGATAAGAGATTTTGTTACCACACGCAGAAGTGTTTTCAGCAATATCTGTGTTTGGTTAATTTAGTTTATTTAAGAAAGAACACACTATAACCTTTGCATTGGTGTGAGATGCTGATTATCTTGTATGAGCTAGGGGAGATCAATGCCTTAGTGGACTCTCCTAATACTTCATTTGGTTCCTGTTACAAATCTTGGATTTCTTGGAAAACTGAGTTAGTTAAAAAGTTATCCTACATTTACTTGTAGTATCAAGGAAATCACTTCCATAAAGTGTCAACAGAATCTTGAGATTCTTTTCAATGCATTAAGAAAGTTATGATTTAAATATTTTTACTTTGTGTCATGTCTTCCTGTAGATGAAAAGTTGTTATTCCCCCTTCATGTCTCCTTTCTCAATGTGAAAACCCTTTGCGATTGCTTTTCTAATTTTTGCATAAAGATAGATAATTTAAGTTATTGATAAATGAAAAAAAACAACAAACAAGAAAAGGCTTTCAGGTTACTTAGTCTTATTCTGCACAAGACAAACTACAAAACTTCAGCCATTTCTTTTGAATTTAGTTTAACTGCAGCTACTCTTCTAAAAAGGTGTGTATCCTTCAGGAGAGGGAGTATCTATTAATTGCTGGGTCATGAATTGTTCTGGGTCCATGTGTGCTGCCACAAGGGTTTTTGCTACTGATTCCTGTAGAAGTGGGCTGTGAGACCCATGTGTGGGGGCATTTGGCCTTTTTGTTATCTTCATAGTACTTGCACTGTATGGCTCTTTGAAGTGGCAGCTGTCCTGTTTCTCTGACTGGATCATGGGCGTTGCTAAAAATACGTTAATTCTATGGACAAAGCAATATCTATGGTGTTGGTTCTAGTTCATATCTCTGCTTGTAGTCCTGCATAGGTGTTTTAAAATTTGCAGCAATTGAGTATATTTTGTTTGTTAGCAACTTCATGGTGTTAGCAATATGAGTGTTGTATTTTGGCTTTAAAATCATCTCTTTCTATTCCTTATTCTTTCACGTTCCTCTTGTTTCAAAATAATGGTGTCGTCTCTTACTGTGCGTGCAAAAAGAAAATGCGTGCAGATGCTCCCATACAAGCAGAGATGATGGGGTTAATTTGAATTTCTGAAAATTGGGAAGAGGGGCATTTTGAAAAGAACTGTCACAGAGAAGGATTGAGAAAGTCCTTTTCCTTGCTTTTGTTGTCCAGAGTAGCCGAGTATCCCGTAAAGGGGCCTATCAGCTAGTCTAGAGAGAAGCACAAACTTTGGACTCTATTCACTTGCCAAAACACAAGTGCCTATTGCCTTTGAGATGTCCTTGAGCCCCAAGACATCCCTGCCTGGCTGGAAGATGAGACGTGAGGCTTTCAGGTGATCCTTGCTGTGATCCTCCTCCAGCAGGAGCTGGAGGCCCAACGGGCTGGGCACTGCATACTTCTGGGTGGGTGGCTGAACTGAACTCCTACGACAGCATTTTATTCCTTGAGCAATTGATGACCTTTCATTTTTGCATTTTTGCTTTTCTTTCTTTCTGGTATCAAGGTAATAAAGCACTAACTCCACGGAGTGCAGATCCAGCTTTGCTATTTTTAATTATCTAGATAGCAAAAGTCAGCCTATAAAGTGGAAGGTCATAGAGTAATATATAACAAGAATTGTGTAATACCTGATGGCTATTGCTCCTTGCACATAGGAACCAAATCTCTCAGTTGTGTCCATGGCTATTATTCATAGACAGTTTCCTTCTCATGTGGTCTGTAGTCCACCTGAGGCCAGTGTTACTTTGAAATAGGGTTCATCTTCTGGATTTGCTCTTTTCTGCAGACATCAACAGTGACTTTTTGCTGTGGGACAATAGTGGTAATGACAATTCTGCCACTATTTACTCCTTCCTTTGTTTGTAGCACTAAAATATCTCTGTTGAGTGGCTGGAAACGTGAGTGTCAGACAGAGGTCGCTGCTGACTGAAAACCAGAGAAAGTGGAAAGATTAAATGGTGTCTAATTTACAGTCTAGCTGGCTTAGTTGCAGTGTGCTGCCTAGAATCAAAATTTAACTTCATCAGAATATTGTAAGTGCTGTTCCATTAGGACCATAGTTTCAGTCAGACTGGATAATCTTTTCTGTACTCTGTTCTGTGTTTAGAGACCACAAACATGTTTAAATCACATAACTCATCTTTCACTGATTATCAGTACTTGGTAACTATGTCATCGTCAGTAGACTGTTTCAGGATGTGCCATAAGATGAAAAATTTTGGCTTTCATCAAGGAATTCCCTGTACCTTTAATAGCAGAATCTAGCATGTACCAACATGTAGCATATACCAACATGGATATGTTTGTGTCAATCTAGCATGTCCAGGCTTGTCACAGCCACCTTAATGCCCTTTCAATAACATTGTAATTCTTCAAACAAAAGTCTTTGAAATTTGAACAGAAATATGACTGACATACAGGCTTTGTTACTGAGTGCATAGGAGAGCTTGACCTAATTGTAGCTGTTGCTCAGAGGCCCACCTTTTCATTTGTATGCTTCATTTCCCTGTTTAGCAGTGAGTTTGTTCTGAAGGTTGAGTTTCTTTGAAAATTTTTACTTTTTGTTTTCCTGAAGCTTGAAGTTATTTAAAGAATAGTCCCTCTATTTTCTTTTCAGAAGAAAATTATTGCCCTTCTGGTTTATTGATGACCTGAGACTGGCTACAGATTATACCCTCTCTGTACACATTTGTGCCATAGGAACACAGTTCCCAAAAGAAGGGAGGTAATTCTTTACCCCGAGCAATAAACACCTTGTGTTATGCAAACAATACAAATTTAATACAGTGGTTTAGCATCATGAACATGCATGTTGGATCACTGCACTGGGGTAACAGAGTTAAGGATGCTGGAAGGCACCTCTGGAGATCATCTAGTCCAACCCCTTACTCAGAGCAGGATCACTTAGAGCAGGTTGCTCAGGGCTGTGTCTGGTCAGGTTTTGAATATTTCCAGAGATGAAGAATCCACAGCCTCTCTGTGCAATCATTCCAGTGTCTTACCCTCATGGTAAAAATGTGTTTTCCTATGTTTAAATGGAATTTCCTGTATCTCGGTTTGTGCCTGTTGCCTCCTGCGCTTTCACTGGATACCAATGCTTATATTTAAGAATGATACTGCTTTTAACTTCTCTGTACATCAGAACTTAAACTTTTAGCTGTTTCCATTGGGATTATTGCATCCTTTAGTAAAACTTCATTAAGTCAATAGCTGGGAAAGAAAGGACATTTCTCTTCTGCCTGCAAGATGCTTCACACTCCCTTGTTTCCAATTCAGGAAGGTCTGAGGGCTCTAACTTGATGGCAGAACCCTGTGCTAGCTCCCTACTGACTCACAAAGTTGAATGGAACTCTTATAAATGACAGACTGTGTTCTTAACAGGGACAGTAAGATTAATCCCTTGGATCACTGCAAAAATCATGCTCTTTCCCATTGAGTTGACTTTTCTGTTGTTTTATGGAGCCTATTGGTATCTGTTGAGAAAGTTTTGTTCAAAAATGTGTATTAATAATTTAGAACATGAAGTCGCAGGACATAGCTAATTTTTAGCATGTATTATTTGAAAAGAGCAGAACCAAATCATAATGTAACCACATGGATGCCCAGTCTTAAGTTAGTAGTTATGTTGGTGCTTTGCTGAGCAGAACTGAGCATTTTGCAGAATCAGATGAAAAGTAAAAGAGTACCCAGCATAGATGAACATGTGTAGAGTTCAGTAGGAAGTCCTGCAGAGGGGTTCAAATAAAGGGATGGATATGGACATTAATGAGAGTATCAATTTTTCAAATTCAAGCCATTTATTTCTTACGACACTCATAGTCTACAGAGTAAAACAACCACACTTGCGATTTTGGGGTGGTAGAGATTTGCAAGCATAATTTGGTGTCCAAATAACTTTAGCAATGCAAGCCGGGTAGTCTTTTAATTCACTCCAATACGGCACATAAGGCTCGTTAAACAATATCTTCTCCACTGAGGTTTGCGGGTAGTAAAACGAGTTCTGGCTGAAGCCAGGTGGCAGGTGTAAG